TTGGACCACTAAGAAGGAGTTATCTATCGCAATAACATATTTTTCCTATGCAACAGAAATTCTTTCTGAACTTCAAGTTACTAGACTGCAGCCCATACCTGGTATTGATTTTGCAGACCATACAATCGATTAAAAGAGATAGTCAAAATGTCTGTAAAGAAAGAAAAATTAAGAAGCGCACACAGAAAAGATCTAATTGCAATTTCAAGGTGATGTTAGTATTAAAACGTCTAATTACACTGCTTATGAGAAGACTAACACTCAATTTGACAAGGTTTTAAAAAAGACCTAAAGGATCAAGTTATAAAAGACTGTAGAGTGTAAAAGGGAAAGAAAAACAAGTGTTAAAAGTAGACTGTTAAAAGTATTTTCTACTTCTTTGAATTGGACCCAATATTGAACCGAGAGTTCAATTCTAGGCATTCTGAAATCTGTACAACTGGAATTCTGGCAACAATAGGAATAATTCCTATTCTTCCTATTTTAGAAGGAAATTTGCTCAGGTTTGTTACCAAATCAATCTCTTGGGTAACACACTAAATGACAGAAACATCCTATTCTAATATAATGGCATTTTAAGGTCACTTAATAGATTTCAGTAGCGTTTTTCCATCTCATACATCCAAGACAACTCCTTTATATATTGTGCCTGTATTTGAGAGACAAAGATGCTGACACACATGGAAAGTTCTTTAGAAAGATTTAAAGCTACAGTGAACTTTATCTTGTTACGTATAGTCAAAGCATCATTATGATGACATACATATGCCTACAGACAGCAAGTGTACCTTCTTTCAAGTCCATGGTCAAAAGTTTAATAACCACCTATATACGTACAGCAACAGAAGCATCAATATATTACATACACTGCTACAATTCACAAGCACTTAGAATGAGTTTATTGTAGCCTAAAAAAAAGTTTAGTTTTCCTTTAGGACCTAACACGTATTCTATTGTTCCCAGAACCTATAGGATTCAGTTGATAGTTCTAGCTTTTTCTTTTTGTAAACTTAGTATCACCCTGCATGTAAAACTCACAAACACCATCACCTCAAAATTACTTCAGAATTGCAGTAAAATATATTGCAGCTCAGTTAATTGAGGAATTTCATACTACTTGTCCCTACTTCCGAGGCATGATTTCTTATTCTGTGCAGAGAATTTTAAAGAACATATTGTCTTTTCTGCGTAGGCTTTGCGTAGGTTTCTTATATTTAAAAGCTTGCAATGATATTGGTTAATTGCTAGATTTCAGCCACCTTTCTAACCTCTCTCATTCAGTGGGTGTGAAAGGGTTTACTTGTAATATATATTGCTACTGACAGAATTTTATCTTGTTCTCCTGGATTCTCAGCAGCAATTCCCAAGTTAGAGGCTTCCCCAGAAAGCACGTCAAAGGATTCCCACCCACACACTGAATATCTAACAGGCCCTGACCCATTTTCTCCTTATTAAAGCAGCACTACATATTTAAAAATAATAATAAACAGCAAAGCTAAATGAATGCAAGAATTGCAGGGGGAACTCTAGCCTTTTTGTAATCTATTTCTGAAAAAAACACTACCAAGAAGCTAAGAGATGCATTTAAAATATAAACATCAAATGCTTTTTTCCTCAGTATTCTCATTCGGTGACTTATTGCTCCAGCTGTCTTTTGACTAAGTACAGGTTCATTTATTAGTTCTGAATATAGAAAAATCCCCTAATTTAGCCATACTTCTCTCTTCCAACCATATGTTTGGGCATATTTCTGCAACTTGAGTTTTAATAAACTTGCAATTCATTGATGTAAGATATAGGATGTTAAAAAAAAAAAAAACCCAACAAGTTAGTAACAGTTGAAATTATACTATTATTTACTAAGATTATTAAAGTTGCCTAAACCGAATAAGCAATAGCAATTAATATACTTATAATTAAAGATTTTATGGTAGGATAGGCTATTACAAATGACGCTGCAGGATTTAAAAACTGACATAGCTGGTATGCTGAAATATTTGAGCATCCCTGTTGAAATGATTAAACAGGTATAATATTCTGTTTTAAGCAGAAACAAAACTGCAACAGAAAATTCAATAAATGCATTCAAAATTTCACAGATATGAATCTCTGATTTTACTGCTTACAGTTGCATAACAGTATTTTTTCCCCTCATGTTCTATCATCTCCAAAGGAAGTGAAGCACTCTGGTAAGTCAAATAACCTGTCCCAAAAACAACAATATTAAACTGAAAGAGGTGAAAAAAACCCAAGATCGGAAAAACAATGGAGAAATTTATATTTCTTCAGTGCTGCAGTTTTTCAGTTTCATCTGTGTCTGTACTTCTTACAAAAGGGACAACCCTACATTTCCCTCTGCCTAAAAATGCACGCTCCCTTTACCACCTTCATGATAGCACAACCATTTCTGTGGCTGCCTAGTGAACCACACCAGGGAACTATTTTAACTGATAACTGACCTGACCAGGTAAAGTTTTCAACTGGATCAATTCCCTGACCTTTTGGTGCCAAAAGGGATCTGAATTGAATTGATAAAACTATGATAAAAGGTTTATTTCTAATACAGTGCTGGAAATGGACAATAAAAAAAAATGTATCCGATCATCCATCTTTTATTGAATACTGAAAGAAAAATTTTCATTTATGAAAAACCCATATCCTGTAACACAAGTATATCTTTTACACTTCCAGTTTATTTGTAAACAGACCTTAAGTTTAACTCTTATTCATAGAAGATATTTGCATTCTTTCTTCTGTTTCCTTTTAGTTTACAACTTGTAAAACAACTGACATCCCAAAGTAAGTAGATTACTAATAACTACTTATTCCATATATGAACACTTGTCAATCTTAAGATGACTAGCTTCATTTTCAACAGAAACTACTATTAAGACAGATAGATATATTTCTTACCTTTTCAAAAAGGACCCACCAGTTCTTTCCACTGGTTTATAACAGAAGATGAGAGAAAACACCAAAACCAACAACAATACTGCTCTGTGTCTCACAATACGTACAAATAGCATGGAGTCTTCTTTCAGTGATTAAGACCTTAACAACAGTTTAATACTATGTCATTTAAGAATCCACCTCCTTCTAATGACAACTGGAGTCTGTAATGGTGGATAACACTACATCTGGAATCCTACTGAACAGATTTTATATGAGTTTACAAACAAAACCAGGAACTAGAAGACCCCCTTTTTTATTATGCCACAGTAAGTTACATCAACTGTAACTGATTGAACATTCATTAAAGAATGCTTTCTAATAAACATAAGCAAGTAAAAAAGAAACAGGATCAATTCAGAGCTAATCTAATTGTTGGCAAAACACTGTCTGATACTTGTAAAAGCTCTTCATCTATCTGGAAAATAAACTTCTTTCACATCAAGGTTTGCACAGGATACGTTATGGAGAAACACGCCGCGTCAGAGAAGTGTTCATCATTGTATTATGCTTGGTAAATGTTTTTGAAAACTTCCAGATATAACATTTGCTTCAATCTGGACTACATATTTTTTCTGCGACACAAAGTGAAAAAGAACAGTAGACTTCACTGCTCCAGTGACACCTGTTGGAATGTGTTTGCAGGCTTAGTTTGAAAGAAAATGGACTTATCCTTACATATATTCTCCACACTGTTCTGCCAAAAGAAAATGCCCCTGTACTGGCAAAATAGTATTTGAGAGATGAATTCTACAAATGTATACATATGCACTGCATCTCATTTCAGACCACAAAGAACTGAAAATTTGAAGACATGTACTTAAGTGGTCTTACAAAGCAGGAAGATTAGAGAATGAGCTATGCTTTCTTCTCACAGGCTTGAATCTCACTGGGCCTCTGACAATGGCACATGAATAAAGGAGTGCCTAATTAAACTTTTTCTTTCAGAAAACATGAGGAATACCTTCTCCATTGTTTACCTTACTGCTCTCTTAGAGCCCAGTTTCCCTCCATTCATGGGAATACATTTAAACAACTAGGTGTTTCTCTATCTGCCTCTTCCAGTTTTCTCTGTACTAGAAAGATCTGTCTCCTTTCATGTAAAATCCCTTTTGAACTAAATACTCTCAGTTTTCAACAGGACAGTAAATGTCCTCCTCTTCCTGCTTTGCTTAAACTCCTTAAGTATTTTTTCTTCCGTATTATTTGATTTTATATCTACATATTTTTACTTCTTGTTCAAATTTAAAAACCAGCGCTTTTTGAAAAGCGCATACTCAACTCTACATATTGCACAGTAATGAATGTATTGCTTGCACAGTGTGAATGTATTGATTGAATTGCTTCTTGAATAAAAGACAACCTTTGTATAACTAACAAAAAATTAACAATCTGCATTTAACAGCTTTTCATTTAATGAATTAAGCACTCTATTCAACAAGAAAACTCAAGGATGAGCTAAACAGTCTTAACACAAAAGCAGCAGCTTATTTAATTGATTAGTGGTTTCTGAAGCCAATGGCACAACTGACAGAGTATTGAGCAAACATAATAATGAATTACAATAAATTATGATTGTTCTTTTAAAGAAAGTTTTCAAAATGAGTCATTTTTAAATTGCCTCATTATTTAAAAGTATACTGTTCCGTCCTTTTTTGTGAAATATTTCTTTGCTGGAAAAATCATGACACATATGTTTTTGTGCAACTTTGTCATCAGAATAATCTCAAAGTAAACAGCATAAGAATTCTTTTAAAATATAGATTTTAAATAGAAAATTGGCCACCTGCAGCATACACAACGTTAACAGAGTACAGAACATTCATTTAACTCCAGAAAGCTCAGAAACACTTGCATGCAATTACGTAAATAAATTGAACAGGATTTCTTCTTTTATGAGGCTTATACAGTACACAATGCTTTTCTACAATAATAAGCCATTAAAAACAATGAAAATATATTAAAACTATTAAAATATGTTGAATCGAGTATATAGTAACACTGTATTAACCTCATCTCAAACATATTTAAGACAGCAGAAAACTACTTACGGGTAAGATTCTGAAAGCTGCTGAGCTATTTTATAAGCCGTGGGGTCCCTGTCTAGAGCATATATTGTAACGTCACTGGCTTTCTGTAGAAGAGCTGTAGTATGACCTCCAGCTCCAAACGTCATATCAAAGAAACACTGTTGAATACAAAAGACAATACCATTACCTTATAACAGAGCAGAAATACACTTATTGTCAGTTTAAACCTTCTTTAGTTAATCCCTCTCATATGCTGGAGGAAGACAGACCATTACATGCAACCGTGGCTTTGGGAATATTTTCATATTTTGAGCAGAACTGCAATCATGTCAGAGTAATCGTAGTATATGCTAGAAGAATAGAGTCTTCATATCATTTAATATGAATTCCTGATTTTTTTCACTACTCAAATTTTTCGGTGATAAAACAGTTTAAGATTACTTATCAAGCAGAATCAAATTGTTACCTAAAAACCTCATGTACACTAAACTTATTTACACAAATTGTACACATAAAAGCTAAGCACCATTTAGCAACAGTTTTATTATTTTATAACTATTTTAGACTCTGCTTGTAAAATATTTATGCACATAGATACACTTCGAGCCTAAGTGAGGTATCAACACACCCCAAAAAAGCCCAGACACAGCTATTAAATCTTTTAGAAAAAATATGCTGCATGTATCATGTTGCAGCACAACCATTTTCCCACTTTGTTTTCTTTTTTTTTTTAAACAGTTTCCTATTAAACATACTGCAACTTAACTGTTGAAATAAGAAAGCTTCAACCGCAAAGTCCTTTCTGATAAAAGCAGAAATTCAAAGACAATGAGGACCAGTGTAAGACCGACCCAAACATTTTCACGGAAATAGTTTTTAGAAACCATAAATAAAGGCGTTTAATGAAATCTCATAATAATAAAAGAGAATATTTAAGATACTAATATTCCAATACTACTGTGGCTACAAGTAAATTAAAATTACAAAGCTTTACCCAGATCTTTAGGATGCAAGGATATTCTATTTAGTTTCTTTACACATTTTATCAGCCTCCCTAAGCCTATGCTCTAGGAGAATTTTCCTATGACATTTTATAAAGTTTCTGTAGGGAAAAAGTGGTTGGCTCGTCTGCCAGTATGGAACTGCATCATTCATATGAGGAAATGACACAGAATGTTAGCTTTTTGTAAATAGCACGTGTAACAAAGTTATGTTCCTCAAGCAAATCATTAGATCCCTAGAAGTACTGTCGTAAGAACTGCAAAATCTGTCTTTAAATGTTGTTCCATTAAGATTAGCAATAAGAAGGAAAATCAATTAAAGTATTAAAAAAAAATCACACATGCAAAAGCATCAGAATTTCAAAGTAAAGCAGCACATAAGCAGCACATGCAAGCTCCAGTAACTTCAGCTGAAGGGTACAGAAATCAACTTGGTCTTTAAAAACTTTGGAAGGAGGAAGGGGAATATATAGTTTGTATTACATGAAGGTATTATTTCCAAAGCTAACAAACATGGTGTGCAAAACTGTTAACAAAGAACGAAGACATACAGAAAGTACTGGAAAGAGCTGTGATAAAAAGAAACCTAACAAGGAAGACTTTAGTGCAATACTGTATCAATGTATGAAACTAAGCTCAGAAAAAACAGATGTAATATGGGCAAAAAAAATCAAGATATTTATATTACAATTTAAAACATCTGAATTTAAAATTTTACCTCTCCATCACTTCTGTGCAGTCCTGGATATTTTCTGTGTGACAGATAAGACACAGTTTGGAGTCCAAATTTAGATTTTGCTTTCTTAAATGTCCAAATCATTTAAGAAAAATACTGACATTTGATTCAGCTTCTCAAAGTTAAGAGTTAATGACTAGAACTGAATATCCTTTCAAACATTCGCTACTCGCATTTTACAGGCTTATGGTTCAGGAACTTCTGGGTTCCTGTTAAAACTCTCAACTCAAAATAACAAGTACACTTCCTTTCAGTAGGCACAAGAAACTTCATGAAGTCATTATTCCTGAATACAGTTCAGTAGAACAGAGTCTGAACCTGATTTTGGCTACTCATCTGGGACTCTCAGAGCTCAGTTGCTCTGCCGCTGTATTGAGCAAGGCTAAACTGCTGCTGCCATTGTATTGATCAGTCTTCCCATCTCTTTACACACAAAAAAGTGTAGCACCAGTATGGGACAAAGGTTTCTTTCTTGGGCAAATATAGGCTATGCGTACCTTACCAAGCAGTAAAGCAAGAGCAGCAGTAGCACGTGTTTAGAGCAAAATAGCTGGTGTTAAGGACTATACTGTTGCTTGCACTATCCTTGGACAAATTCAATATTAGCTACTGAATAGGATACTGGACTAATTAATAAAATTTGTACTACCTTTCCAGTGGAAATTAGGATAAGCATATAATCGTTAACTCTGTGCAGTTAGCTTAGCAATTTGTAAAAATTAATACAAATTGCAGAAAAATATATGAATCCTCTTAAATTAGGAGGATTAATTCTCTTAATTTCCAAGAGTTATGCAATGTTTTTTTGACTTCCACTCAAGTTATTTCCATTTAATCCTTACAAAAAGTATTGTATGTAAGCAATAAACAGCCCTCAACATGTGTCTGCTGTTTCTGTAAAAAAAAAAAAAAATCCCTTTAGAAGAACACGAAAGAACAACAGGAAAATAAAATTACTTTTCTATTCCTTGCATAGGATTAATCCACTCAGGAAACACTATCACAACAATCCCAAGCGTGTAGGGTTGCACTATTTCGTAGTGACTTGAAACAATCAAATCCAACCTAAATTGCACCAGAATACCTCACAGAAAACATCCATTTAATCAATATTAATAACATATACTTGTTTTTTTTAAATAAAATCAGTATAAAGAAATGCTGTTATTTGATGTCATAGCTAGAAACCTTCCGCTGAAATCTTAGTAAGTTCAACATTGCCTTTCCTGAAACTGACCTACAACACTGACAGAAAACAGTCAAGGAAGGCACAGGAAGTGCTAGAAGTAACTAGCTGTTTGTCTCCTCTTAAAACCAAAGGAAGTTTGGAACAGGAATTTTATTCCATGTAAACTCACTAGTAAGGCAAAGTTACAGAAAATACTGTTTCTTCTCGAATGGGTTTATCTATTTGTGTTATTTCTTGAAGATCTGTTCTTCTTCCAAACACTAATTCTTCTTATTACATAATGAGTTCTGGAAAACATTACATAGATATGATCCTCTGCGTCTTTTCTCTCACTAACACTTCCTTACCGTGGAGGAGGTTCCTTGATTCATCAAGTTTGAAGAGCAGAAAAGCGTGAAAAGTTGAACGAGGGGCCTTTTTTGCCAAGTACATATTCAGACAATTTAAGTTTTTAAGTAGTATTTAATGTAGTTTTTTTAATCCCCAAATGAAACTTTGAATATCTTGTGATTCAATCAAGAATACTTGTATTCATTAGTTTGCTTCAAATCTCACCTTTCCTCACACCCATCCACTTCTGCTTCCAGTACTTTTAAATTTATTAAACATTAAGCTTGATAAGCCCTTTAGATATGCTGAATATTGATGAACCATATAGAAGGTCTTTTACATAAATTAAAACTAGCTGTGCAGAGAGATGAAAAAAGGAAAGATGAGGATCATTTTACCATTACATAGAGACAAGCTGGAAATATTGCGATAGCATCTAAAAGCTCTACTTAAGAATTCACGCAAGCGTGCACATCAAACACACTTGCTCACAAAATTATACTACCCTTCCTGCAAAAAACTTTAAGCAACAGTAGACAACTGTAACATGATCTTTAATTAGTAGCACTACATAAAGGAATAAGCTAAAGCATTTTTTGCATCCTAGCAAACCTAGTGAATGCTAACTAAATTAAGTACATTTTGGTATAACTTTTTAAGGTAAATAAAGACCTTCCATGGATAGCCTTTGAACTGTGCACACATATGCCTAAACTAGCAAGTAAGAACTCCTATGCAAGCTTCACAATCTGGCTATTCCACTCAAAAACAAAGTTTTACATCCAGAATATAAAAAACCCACCACCTTAAGTTATCAAACAAAATAACGTTATTACCACCACAACTATTTTAGAGCATTAATCTGATTTAAAATTAATCACTATGCTATAGCACTTTGTAATATACTTTTTTATATATTCCATTCATCTTTCATATCTGAAATAGAAGAAAGATGCTTCCTTTTTTCTTTCACTCTCTCTCTTGTCTAGTAGTTTTTAATCAAATAAAATTAAATGACATTTTATCCTCATGGTCCTATAAATACCGCAAAAGATTATTACAGGAGTTCTTCCTGCAGTGACTCACAGTTCCATTGTTAAGTTATGATAGCCCCATCAGACTTCCCCTTGGGAATTTTATAATCAGTTTATGACTGTACATTTTAGAAACCATTTGGCTCTTTCATGACATACAGATAGCAACAAACAAAAACTTTATAGTCCTCATTTTACAGCTAGCTCCAAGACAGTTATATAGATACATCTTATTTTTCTATACAAGACTTCACTAACAAGATACCTCCTAATGAATACCTTTTAAGCACTTCATCTTAGTATGAGAGAAGTCAACTGTGATTCTCCTTACCACCACAGTCCACATCTAACAAAATTTATTCCACTACACCTGCTTGCTTTTGCAATTATTTTTCTTTTACTATATAGCAAAACGCAATTGGAGAATAAAATCAAAACTAGTATAAAACTGAAACTCTCAGACTCAACATTCATACACTGAAACCACATGAGATTTATTTTAAAAGTATGTAAAGTTTTCTCACCATAACTCCAATAATTTCTAGTCTCCGCTTTCTTTGTTTTTGCCAAGAACATTCTCATGTTCGAAAACAGTCATTTGTTCCTTTAGATTTACATCTTGCATTTTCTATGATTAAGGTTCATTCTTTCAAGCAGTTTATGGTGATGCTGACCTTCCACAAAGTGATTTTTCTAGTCTCAAAGAAGGCCTAACTTTGGCAAACTAACTAGAAAATATCCAAGCTGGATCCTGGGTTGGAATACATTACATGAAGTATTAAGTCAAATCAGTCTTCTATCTCCTGAGTATTAGTTCTTCATGAGTAATCACTCTCTTTTCCATCATCAACTACATGACAGGTTTCTG